TGTAAAATGATGCAGCTGCTATGGAAAACAGTTTTGTAGTTCCTAGAAAGTTAGAGTTACAATACGACTCAGCAATTCCACTCATAGGTATATACCTAAAAAGAACTGAAAACCAGTGTTCAAACATTTGTATACAAATGTTCATTGGAGTACTATTTACAGTAGTCAAAAGGTAGAAACAACCCAAATGACCAATCATCTGATGAATACATAAAAACAAAATGTGGTACATCCATACAATGGATACTGTTCAACCATAAAAAGGATGAAGTATTGATACATGCTACAATATGGATGAACCTTGAAAACAATATACAGGTAAAAGAAGCCAGACACAAAAGGTCATATTTTATATGATTCCGTTTATATGAAATACTCAGAATAGACAAATCCAAAGAGACAGAAAGTAGGTAAGTGGTTCCCAAGAGCTGGGACAATGAGGAAATAGGATGTGACTGCTTAATGAGTACTGGGGTTTCTGTTTGGGGTGATAAAAAGTTCTGGAAATAGACAGTGGTGATGGTTACAAAACATTATTACACACAGACTGAAAGTAAAGGGATAGAATAAGATATTTCACGCAAATGGAAATGAGGAAAATGCTGGAGTAGCAACACTTATTTCAGACAAAATAGACTTTAAAATGAACACTACAATAAAAGACAAAGAAAAACACCACATAATAATAAAAGGATCGATTCAAAAAGAGGACATAACTCTAGTAAACATCTATGCACCCAACATAGGAGCTCCTAAATACATAAAACAGATTTTGACAGACATAAAGGCAGAGATCAACAGTAACACTATCGTAGTAGGGGACTTCAACACCCCATTGTCATCAATGGACAGATCCTCCAGACAGAAAATCAACACGGAAACAGTGGCCTTAAATGACACTTTAGACCAGCTGGATTTAATTGATATTTTTAGAGCATTTCACCCCAAAGCAACAGAATATACATTCTTCTCAAGTGCACATGGTACATTTTCCAAGATAGACCACACATTAGGACACAAAACCAGTCAATAAATTTAAGAAGACTGAAACCATATCAAGCATCTTCTCTGACCACAATGCTATGAAACTAGAAATCGATTATAAAAAGAAACCTGGAAAGCACACAAATACATGGAGGCTGAATAACATGCTCTAAATAGCGAGTGGGTCAAAACTGAGATCAAGGAAGAATCAAAAGCTATCTCAAGACAAACGACAATGAAAACACAACTCAAAATCTATGGGATGCAGTGAAAGCAGTTCTAAGAGGAAAATTCATAGCAATGAAGGCCTATCTAAAGAAACAAGAACAATCTCATATCAACAGACTATCTTTACACCTAAGGGAACTGGAGAAAGAACAGCAAAACAAGTCCAAAGGGAGTACAAGGAAGGAAATAATAAA